TATAATCTCAATAAAGAATTGTGCGATGACGCTGTCTTGACGTTTGAAGGTGATTATTTGGAGGCAATAGCGGGATTTAGAATTCACTGCAAAGTGCACAATTTTATCGAAATTCGTTTGTTTTTCTTAGTTTTGCACGATAGAGATGGAGAAGTGAGGGCATCAGAAAATGTCTTTTTTGTTTTTCTGTGGCGAAAACAGTCCTGCTGATTTTCAATAACTCTCCCTGAATGCAAAGCAACTATTGTTATTGCGGATATCTCAAGGAAATAGAAATAAAATAAAATTCAAAGAAAAGCCAGAAAAGTTATTATTTATCAGCGGAAGACGGAAGGAAGTATTTATCAAACCTATTCACCCAAGTTATGTCAGAGCGACAGTGGCATAAAATAGTAGACCTCACAAGAGAGGAAATCTCAAAGCGTTTTCTACGATTTTAATGTTTTGTTTGCTTTTTTACCGTCACTGGTATTATGTGAAGGAAACAAAAAGAGAATAGGAGGATAAAAAATGCGTCTTTATTTGCGGAAGGTGGACAGGAGGAGTTATCTAAAGATAATTATCGATAGGTTATAATCTGGGTGCAAAACAGGAAAGATTCAATCTTAACGTTTCTTTTTTTAGACTGTTAGTTTCAAGTGACGAAAAATAGAGCCAGATTTCAAATCAGCTATTCCCTTGTGTTATTATATCTCAAAAAAAATTACCTGTTCCTACTTTGAATTAATTTTTTCTCTGACAAACAATTTGTGTCTTTTTTTTTTCGGTAGCTGCATTATAACGTTTAAATTTTTTCAATACATTCCTGTTGATCGATAAAAAATTGAATCATGAAATGAAAATGAACGCAGGTAAGTTGAATTCCCTGTAGTGAAAACAAGTTTATCCCAACGCAAGTGCTTTTTCATCCAGAGAAATTACCACCTATTAAAGAGGAAAACTAGCAATGGATTGTCTAGGGGAACATTGTAAAGTCCCAAACTCATAAACAGTGAACCGTTTGCAAAAGCGTTCAAAATTCCCCTCAAAATTTACGTCTTGTACCATATAGGTTCTGGGATAATATTCACTCACTCCTTTTGTTTTAGACGAATAACTACACTTCGTCTTTTGTCTTTTACATTTGCAGAGACTTGTCCGACAACGGTTTGTCTCAAGTGCCAGTTTTCGTCATCCGTAAATATCGCAATATCACAAACTTGTAAGTACTAATGTAAATTTTGTTATTCAAAATTAAATTTAAAAAAAGGCAAAAATGCATCATTAAGAACTAGTTCAATAAAAAGCAATATTGAAAAATTAACCACACACCATATTTAATTTGGCTGCCACTCCAAACCACTCTCCCAGAGTTATGTACTTTTAAAAGACCTAGATTAAATGTCATACCAAGGGCTTCAGCGTCAATACTGGAAGAGAGCCAGGGAAAGGGTGATGAAGAGCGTTGAAATAAAAAAAAATTAAAAAAAAAAACCAACTGAAAATGAAAATAATTTCAAAGAAAATTAAGTCTGATAACAAGAAACGTTATAGTCCTAAAATTTCGTATTGAAACTTTTACCAACATGTGTTTTTTACTCTGTAATGTATGTGGACGCTCATTACGAACAAACAGTTTATCAAAAGGAACAATACAATTCATCTTTCGGTAAACAGCAACACTACCAACAAAGCAACACAAGGTAATCATAAATCTATGGAAATGACCGCGCGGAGGAAATGTAAACTTCAGATTAACTGGATTTTATTCTCATAGAGGGTACAAATATAGTGAATCAATGTGAAGCAAAGTGGAACTCGAGTTTAATCCCGGCTGTCATAGGTTTTGGTCCATGGGAATTAATTGTACTTTGTTCCAGTGAGTAAGTTGAAAAAAAGAGGCGCGTAAGGCGCGTAAGGCGCGTAAGGCGCGTAAGGCGCGTAAGGCGCGTAAGGCGCGGGTTAACCTTATCTATTAATCTTTTTACGTTGTGTTCTTCACCAGGGTCTTAGACGGAAACAAGATACATAATCTGACTCAAGAAGGTCTGTTGGCTGATTTCCTCTTCCTGGAGTTTCTGTAAGTGTTTGTGTTCCATTATCATGGGTCTGTTGTGCAATGGGTGTTAGTTGGCTACCAAAGTGATCATAAAGAGATCCGTTTGGAAAAAAAAAATTCTCACCATTACTTGTGCTTCAAGCTCTCGTTTCCTACTCGTTTTTCAGCTCGATTCAACGAAACTTCATTGGGGAGGTTGACAGCAAATTCTTTGCCGGCCTCAACCGCCTGAAATATTTGTAAGTATAAAAGGTGTTTAAATGTCACTGGGTTGCCTGTGCTGAGACGCTTCTAAAACGTGAACGTCAGAGAAAAATCGATAGTTCTTAAGCCAGAAAATTTTGCACACGCACTTGTTTCCTAAATATATCTAGCCTTTTCATAAACTGGCATGTCTGGGTGTGAACAGGAATTAACCAGGGAGCACTTATTTCCTAGTCAAACTATTTATTATAATTGGAACTTACTTAGGTACAAAAGAATGGAGGGGCAAGTTTCTTAAGAACCTGTGGTGCTGTGTCGATAGGGGGAGTATAACCAAATAAACTGGCTTTTTCAACTGAGTTGATAATGAAAATTGGTCACCGTAAAGAGTTTCAAAGCTGACGTTTTAAGCGTTAGCCCTTTGTCAGAGCGAATGGGTACAGATCGCCAAATGATATAATAGAGGCATCGAGAAAAAAACACAGGTTAACGCGAAACCTTGATATAGAACGGCTGCTTGTGATGCAGAAATACTGAAAATATCGGTGGGAAAAATATCGTAGTAGATTCGGTTTCAGTCGCGTCCCCGAGTCCAAATTCCGTACCTCCCGAGAGGGGACGATTTTTCTTCAGGATTGGAACGAAGGCTCCTTTATCAAACAGTGCTTGGTAATCGAATTAAATACATAGGTTTTTCAGTGAGGAAAAAAAGTTTATTTTTCCCATAATTTTCTTCCCCAGAAATCTCAGTCTGAATAATATAAGGAGTTGGTCTGGTAACCAGTCAAATAGTACCCGTGATCTTGAATACTTGGATATTACTGGAACAATCGACTGGGTCCCAGATGAAAATATTCTGGCTCTTCCTAAACTCAAAGAACTCAGGGGGGTAACTTGGTGTAAATTCTGCCCAAACTGCACTGTCGTTAACCCAAGAAATCTCGTCAACGAGGCGCAACGAAAGCAGAAGGCTGAGGAATGCCTTCGAGAGTTTGATGAAATGGAGTTTCTTGAATTTGGGAAGAAGGATCCTACGAGATTTGTAAGACACCGATTTTCGCCCGAGTGCATGTGCGTGAAGCAGTCGGAATGCGAATTCCGTCACGTTGTTATGCCATACTTTAAAAAACGGACATCCCTTCCTCAGCACTTGTTTTATTTGGAGTACATTTTTAGCCCCTTTACAATCCTTTTCAATTGTGTTGTCATCTTTGTTATTCTCTCGTCCCGCAACTTACGAAAGACAGCGTCCTTTATTCTCATAAGCCATACAGGAGTTATCGACCTGCTTATTGGGATATACGCAATATGGGTGGCCCATGTAAACATCTCGAACATCGACAGTATTCTAGAAGAGGTTATGTGGGCAGGAAAAGAGCTGCAGCCCTCCACTGGTCCCATCTTTATCTCGGGACAGCTGATTTCTGTGTCCATCTCACTGCTTCTCACACTCGAGAGGTATCTTGCTGTCGTGTACTGTGTCAACCCTTCCAAGCGCATGACAGCGAAAGGTGCGCACATCTCATTGCTTTTTGCTTGGGTTACTGCCATCACTTTCGCTGTCTTGCCCATATTTGGTGTTGGGGGTCTTCATTACAACATAAAGCGAGCCTGCACTCCTTTGAGTTATGATGAACAATTCCAGTCAGGATCATCACTGATTCTTCTTTCTTCTCTAGCATGCATTGTTTTGCTTTACTTGGCGAACCTTCCCTTATATTTCAAGGTTTTTAGGTTTGTGAAAAGGAGTAGCAATCAGGTTGGGGTGAAGCGAGAGATATCTCTTGCAAGAAAAATCGCTTTGTTGGTTTTCACAAACTTTATATTCTTTGCTATCCCTATTATTCTCATCCTCGTGTTCTCAATCTTTGCCAAGCTGGAGAGCAACCCTTTTGAATTCAATGGCGACTCTTTTAAAAGCACCATTTTTAAAATTTCCATCGGTCAATGGCTTCCAGTTACTTGTCTAAACATTAATTCCCTATTAGATCCATTTCTCTACGCATTTCGACATGCGCATTTTAAGCGGGAAGTAAGGCGTAGACTCCATCGTTTGTCCCGCAAGGTTTTTCCATCTCTGACTCCAGCAATGAATTTTAACTCTGTTGGAGATACAGTGTCTTACGATGCCCCCAAAACAAAGCAAATGTCAAAGATCGATGAATTGAAAGCTCCGCAAAGCGGTGCTCGAAAGAGAAACATCCTAGCTGCCAACGTTGAGTTTGAATTCCAAGAGACAGAAAAACAAGTCACAAAGTCTTCTTAACGCAAGCACTTGTACAGAAAAAAATTTCATTTTACCTCATGATGACTTATCAAGAAAAACCGACGCAAATATCAAATCATATCCACTGAAATATGAACTGATACCCATCCGAACTTCCACAGATAATCAACTCGATCATAAAGGTAAACATAAAATGCAGCGCTTTCCTTTACACGGCAAAATTTCTTTAGACATTTCACCCTAGTAAATGCACAGCTGTGATATATCAACAAGTATTTTGTACATATAGTTATCTTAAACTTCATTCCGCATGAGCCTTTTGGCGTTGTAGTAAATGATACAAAGTCATTACTTTTATCATAATTTTTATCATCTTTTTGTAGATGATGAGATGATTTTGTTAACTGTCCTTTGGACTAACTGTCCCTTTCAATGGACAGTCAAACTGATATGAAGACTTATTGTTGGAAGCGTGTTTACGTTGAACTGAGAGAACATATAAGAGTTGCGATCTGTACATACACTACATAATTTACTTGTCGAAAAATAAATCATTTGTTAAAAACATAATCTGCGACAGTTTAAAAAATAGCTTTTAATTTAAACTCAAGGCAACATCATATACATCATTTGGGTGTATTCATTCCCACTTTCTTTAGCGACTTTATTTTATAATTTACTGCTGATTACGATCAAGTTGACTGGCATTCTAAAAGACACGCCGGACATCTAACAATTCTGTTATAAAAAATAAGATGAGCGATTAACCTTAGTTTTCATCCACAATGAAATGCTATGCTCGGCTCTGGTAGAGACGTGAACAAAATAGCCTTGCAAAATAGCGCGTACGTTAAATCTTCATTAAGGGCAGGTGCATCTTCGGCCCCAGCATGCATGAGGCTTTGTTGTAGATAATTCAAGGCAATACTCTCTTCAACTGACAATGCCAGGCTTGCACAAAATTCGTATTTCTTAATGAGGGAAACAAAACATTCCAATTGGAACCACGTGTTTATGAAACAAAGGGTAATTATGTGGATAGAATCGGTCTCAGTTCACATAACACCAGTGTAAGGTTCTGCTTTGTCAATTCCTCTCAGAAATGGCTCATTCTCCGGTAAGTCTACATCGCCATTTTCTATCTCATTTGAAGCTTGATCCTGTGTAGATAGGAGTTGGTTTTATGTATTGACAGAGGTCATACAAGATACTTAAAGCTACAACAAGTTGCTATAAAATAGAAAGATTCTCATAGTCTGGTCACTGGTTCTAAAAACCATATACTTCTATTTTCTGGGTCATTGTCAATCGTGGGTATGATCAGGAGCGCTTGATAAAAAGCGATTCCAAAGCTAAATATCGCTACCATTTGAAATTGGGGAGCACTTCGATAATCTAGGACAAAAGCAAACGTGCAAAAACTGACGGAAGAATCAGAATTAGAATTTGGAATGATATATACTGTGTGATTATCTTGCCTGTTGAGATGCATCAGGCTTGGGCATCAATGGAGGAATAATTAATAGCTCGTTATACAAAGCTGTGCCAAGCATCAGGAAAAGAAATCCATCAACTGCAAAAAATAAAAGATTTCCAAATTAAACCAAATCGGTCATATTAATTCCACCAGAAAGGAGTGTCCTAAAAAACAAATTGAGCAGTTTTAAAACTAATTTATATGATGGAGGTTTCCTATATACCCGCTCTTAAATGGTTTATAAAATTTAAGGTTTGGTTGCTGCAGTTATTGCAGACTGTAAACTTGGCAGTTGTTCCCTAAAGGATAGACTGAAACGGTTTGTGGGTGAAATAAGATTTGTGGGAAATTTAGTAGCGATCGGTTTGGACTCAAAAGATTTGTCTACCAGTGCAGAATGAGCTGGTCGCACGGACCGCAACTCTCTCAATAGAAGGTACCGAGCTTTCTACGGTTCGTGAAATCCACCTTATTGTTCGGACTTAGAATTTTTTCGTGTATATAAGAGCTTGTGGTAAAGGTGGTTTTTTGAATCAAGGGTATAATGCAGACTGCACCACACGAGGAAACTGCGAAGTGTCAGCAGTTTTGCCTTGGGTTAGCTTTTAAGACAACAAGTTTTACCTTGAAATATGCTGTACTTTCTATCCCACGTTTCACCAAAATCCTGGGGAGATAATATAATAATAGGATGAAGTTAATTGAGTACATAAGAACGATGAAGTAAGTAAAAAAGCCTTTATACAGGCCCAGATGGCCTATGGGGCCGGCGCTTAGCTCTGGTTTCCTTAGCATGAAGCGGCTAGGAGTATTGCTTCTCCCCCCTGGATGGGATGCTAGTCCTGGTACCCATTTGTACACAATGACCCCGGCCAGGGCTCGAGCCCGGACCACTCGGAATCCGGAGTTGAGCGCACTAACCATGAGGCCACCGCACCGCCACAAAGAACGATGAAGACACCAAGATAATATACAGAGCGAGCTACAGAAGAAAAAGAAATTATCTACCCGTTGACCGTTCAGGACAAGTGACAACCGACAACCGATTCAAGTAGGAGCTACAGCAGGTAAGGTAAGGTTGACTTGATTTTACGACTGTCCAACATTGAACAAATGGCATATAAATAATTAAACCAACACAATAAGTTCTGAGATAAACTCGGAAAAACGGGGACATGCGGCGAGGAAAATTTTCAAGAAACCTCCAACAACAAACTGCATTCGAGCAAGCGTAAATCAAAGACGTTGTTCGAATGAGTAATCCAATGAAAACGATGATTCCAGAGTCCGCCATTTTCATATAACGTTGCTATGGAACCTGTGAAGCTCCCGCTAAGCGCAAACGTTTATTTGGCTCTGCTATCTTGCTCTAACTGTCACTTTTAACGAATGAAATCATGTGATATCCATTGGGTGTGTCATGAAGGAAGGGGTGTCATGAAGCAGCAAGTGACGCTTTTGTTCAAGAGCTGAAATCTGTCTCCATGCAAAAACTACCATCATTGAAACTAGGTCATGACACTTAATGGAATCACGATGAAGGAATACCTCATGAAGGGCATAGTGTATGAACAGTTCTACAGCCCACACCACAATTGTTCTGCAGGCGTCTATCAATGTTCTGTGGACCGCTGAAAAGGAAATACAGTTGGTGTAGTTTCCAGACCTTTAAGTCACATGAACACTATGAGGTGGAATGTTCTGTGTGCATTTGCAATACGATATAAAAACGAAACGAACGGGCATTTACTTGAGCTAACTAGGGTAGTGAAGCACATGAATGAAATTGGCGTGGAAATGATAAAATGCGAATTCGGGTCCATTTGTTTATTGTGGTCTTGTAAATTTAACAAAAGGGATTTGTAAAAATTGTCTTAGATTCTTTGTAAAACTAAATTAAGTACATAAATCCATTTATATCCAGCAACGTTAGCCGAAGATGCTCTATGATTGAAGTTGGTTTCATGAAACACCAGTCTTACCTGTTAGAGACTTTGTAAGGGTCAATCCAAAGGGATTTGTAAAAACTGTCTTAGATTCTTTGTAAAACTAAATTAAGTACATAAATCCATTTATGTCCAAAGCAACGTTAGCCGGAGATGCTCTATGATTGAAGTTGGTTTCATGAAACACCAGTCTTACCTGTTAGAGACTTCGTAAGGGTCAATCCAAAGAAATTGTAAAATGCGATAGAAAGAGTATAAAACACTAGAAACAAGCAACGAAATAAGTCAGTAGATAAATATCTAATCAACAAATAAACCAAGAAATATAAACAAAATATAAACAAAATGTTTCAACTATGCGAAAGTAGGTTCACCATCTGAACGCGGAAAGCACAAGTGACCAAATAATGACTGTTTTCAATTTTTTTCCTCGTTCAATGGGTAGCAAATTTTTTTCTGTACCCTGAAAATCACAGCCCGTTATAAAGGAAAGCCTGCTCTAATTTTGACATTTCATTGAAAATTACTTTAATAAAGCTGACGAAGCCAAAGGACATATGAAATTTTTCTGACCTATAAGTGTCGCAAGAGTCGTATCATTTTTTATCATCAGCAGAGCATCAAGGCTGTTTTCGTAGCTGTGGTGAGGTTGGCTTCCTGGAATAAAGTACAGCACAGGAAGGACCACCTGTTAAATTAATAAACAAAAATTTTTAAACAACTAAATTGATTTCAGTCGAGACATCAGGAAAGAACCTTTGAGAGATTTGGCATTAAAAGCATTAGCCCCTTTGATATCTTTTAAAATAAAACAATTTGATTGAAATGACTCTAGGGCGAGAATGTTTATCGCTTATTTTTTATACCTTTATTAATTTAATCAGTTAGAAAGTTTTTTTTCCCACGTTTTTCTTGGAACAATTAGAAAGATACCCAGGCTCTCCTCCAAAGCGGAGCACAACTCCGAAACTCTCTTTGGTCTGGGGTTACATTCATCAGATATTCCTCGATTCACACTTCTTGGTGCTTTTTTTATCCCAGAACAACGACAACAACAACAGCAACTTCACATTTTAAGTTAACTCTAAGCAATAAAGTCACCGTGTCATACGTGCATGTAAATTAAAATAATTGATAATGCCATATTGCAATTAACCAACAATTTGCATGACGATTGTTCCACTAAAAGACCATCAAGTGGAATAACTGCAGCGCCATTCCGTCAAAAAAACCAACCCACTAAATGAAAAAATGCCTGGATTTGCAACTCTTTTCTTGTTTTAGGTTGTTGCTAAACATTTTTTCAATAGCCTTCCTAACTGAGCTGCATACGGCACTTACAGCAGCCATGACTGTGAATCCAAAAAAGCCTTCCATTCCAACAACCTGTATGAATTATGAGACAAACAGCATAAAATCAGCCTCTCCATTATGGTTATCCGCACATGAAAGTACCGGAAAAGAATTTCAACCTCAGAAGTAGATGTTCAAAAGCTTACATCGTTCGAAGGCAAACTAACTAGTATTAGTAGTTCTTTCATACACACTTGGCGATCTGTGTTTTTATATGTGAAGAGATTAAATCAATACTGGTAAGGGAAGGGACCGACTTGAAACAAAAAAAACGAGAGATAGTTGATTTAATTGATGCTTTACAGAGTTTTTTACTCCAAAATATGTTTACATTGAATCGTCTACTGAAATCGTCAAAATACCAAGGTAAATTACAACTTCTCTCTCTCCTAAAGGATATATCGAATACTACAGAAATTCGACCAAAACACAGCAAAAGAGGGCACATCACCCACTGAAAATTCGCTCTTACTTCAATAAAAAGAAAGAAATGACCGAAAACAACCTGTAGAGGGTGAAAGTTCTTCTCCTTGAGGAACCGTTCTTCTACAATATACTGTGTGGCACTGACGCACTGACCCATAAGAATAAAAGCAATACCTGTAAAATCAGGATAAGCAAAATAATTTGTGAGCGCAATAAATTTTAAATGGAAGCATTAGACATCAGAGTCATAATACTTAATTGTAGCCGAATATTTCAGAGTAAGATAACAATTGGAGCATTGTTATCCGATAGAACTTTTATTCGAGGTATTTTTATCATTTAAACCTTGAAAAATAAACGTATAACAGAAGAAGATAATAGAAATGATACTGAATCAGCATCAGAAGTAATAACAGTATAGCAATTCTGTAACAAGTTACCTAAACCAGCTTTAGGATGAGATGCCTCTTTATCTCTGAGAACACTTGACAGTCCAACAAGAACTAAGCCAACCTGACGAGGGTAAAAGAAATCCTGTGAAACATTCTAGTTAGCACTAGGCAACTGGCAAACGGCTAAGTTTGGCTACGCCTCTTTACTAGTGAGGTTCCTCAAAGTTTTTTAGCGCTGTTCTGCGGCCAAATATTACATGTGGAATTTATCCTTTTCCACTAAAACAAATGGTTCACTAAAATAGAGAAACAAATAGGAAAGGATACATCAATTATGCATACACACAGGCCCTTTTAATGGTAAAATCTAGGCTCACCAACCATATGGTTTTCACATTTATTTCGATGGTGGACTGGAAACCTCTCCTTGTCATTAAATTTTCTCTTTTCATTTCTTCTTCTCCTTCTTTTTTTCAAAATCAATTAATTCTGGATTACTCCGTTCGTTAAATACCCCGCTGAACATAGTTCCTTGAGTTTACGTACGTGCAGACGGTCGCAACGTCAAGACCAAATTTTTTAAAGCTGGGTGGCTTACCACATTCTCTTAGTCATTATGTGACTCGCGCTGCTCGCTTCCCACTTCTAATGCATGGAATGACTTTTCGAGTTTTCATGGAGTCCGGGGCGGGAGGGCTGGGGCTTTTCATCTACCGTAATTTCCGGCCGACTACCCGCAGGTATGCGGGTTACAGGAAGGTGTGGGTAATATGATAATTTCAAAGCTTCAGTTATAGTTTTAAAAATATAAGCAGGAAAAAAAACAGAGATGACAAGATCCACTAAAAGATACTCTTCAAAGAACCTATGTGATATTTCATTTGTTACGAGCTGATTGCTCATTATTATAAGGGACTTTAATGCTCTCAATGAAAGCCGATGCAAAACGAAAACCTAACTACAAAACTCGGTAAGAAAGCTTTTATCTTAAGTGTACTTACTTTCTTACCTTGTAAATTTTACAGCTTGTTTCTTTGTTAAGTTCAAAAAACAAATCTCAATTACACAGGAAGTGAACTTGAAAATAAAAGAATTTAATTGTGAAAAAGCTGGCTTAAGAGCAATTCACTCGGAAAATGTGCCGACATGTTCATTTCGTGGCGCCGCATAATTTATAGCGCGACAAAATATTTGACGCACCAGTGAAATTTACTTGGCTAGCACTGCCTTGAGTTAATGAGTATTTTCCCGTTTTAAGCGATTTCTCCGGCTTAGTAGATCTCGAGATATCGATTTTTTAGAACAGATTTTCACAAGCAGTATCATTCTCAATGAAACAGCGACGACAGAAAGAGTGGAAATTTATTGCACGTTAACGGATATTACGTCAACAAAAACAACGAAGGAACTTTGTGTGGGACTATGATTTTCTTTTGTTTTTGGATGCGGGTTGTCTGCCAGTGCGTATCTGTTGAAATTTTTTCCTCGTTAATGCAAAAATTGGCCGATGCGGGTAATCTGCCGCGCGGGTAAATGGACGGAAATTACGGTAACTAGCATTACGAAAGTTGGATTCAAAGCTGATAATCGTCTCCCCATGCGTCCATGTACTTTATGTACCTTCTTTAATAATTTACAATTAGAAACTTGCATGATTTGAATGAATTTAAAGGATTCCACCTACCACAGTTACAATCATTCCTATCCAGTGAATTGGCCACAACTTTCTCTTCAAAAAGATTTTCTATTATTTACGAAGAAGCAAAAATTCCACATATATAACTATTTTTCCCTTCTAAATCATTCTTTCACATGCAAGAGTCCTTTCATAAGTGCATTAAAAATGACTGAAAAAATGATGCAGTGTGTGAGCAACTGAATAACTTGGTATAGAGATGAAACATCATTTTATACCTCCAACACCACTGCAGTTTCCGCTAATTTATTAAGACAGATATACCTTTAATGAAAAACACACGTATATCTCAACAGAGTCAACTTGGAATATTACTTAAATTCAACGAGCATCTGCTGTTGTATGCCTCCGAAAACATTTGGACATAAAATAAGATTATACATTATTAAATACTTACAGAAAGCAAACCAGTAAATATTATAATTGAACCTCTCAGCATTTGCCATACTGATGCTTTAACATAAAGCAGACCAATTGCTGGGGTAAAATGAAAAAGAGAAAAATTACTCTTACAGTAGTTAGTATCTGTCTCCCAGAAGCTCAGAAGGTGTCTTTGATTTCATTAACCTCCATGAAAGAAAAACTCTCTGTGCTCAACAAAAAGGTTAATGGCAAGATTTACTGAGATAGTAACATTATACATAAATTGGTTAGAGACCTAGGAGCTTCAGATTGGAGAAACTTATCAGTATTTCACCCATTTCAAAAGTACACAAAAGGCACTCTGCATGGTTATAAATATCCTTCTGGAAGTTTGCTTTAGGTATGAGGAATACCTCAGAGGGATTATTATAGGTATTCTCTGAAAACAAAGGTAAAATATACATATTCTCACTTGCTAAAGTGGTTCCACACAGGTCACATAAAGCAGGAAAGGCAAAGATCCACTGAAACACCCTGCAAGAGGAATAAACTCCAAGTATTAGACATATACAGTATGTTTAACATCATTGTCAACCATAAATTGTTTTTGTATTTTTTTTGAGAAAATGAGTAAAATGGTTTTGTCAAGCTATAAAATTTAATTCAGCTCAAAGTAATGTCATCCTCAGTGGAAAACTGGATTTGTGCTTGAGAGATTTGGGAGATGCTAAGGACATTTTCCAAATCACAGTTATGAAAAATGATCCTTATATAACTGCACTGCATGCCATATTGAGTATCCACCACACTTAACAGGGCACCTACCTTAAAACAGAACATCATAGCAATAGTAATTCAGGTCCATATCATCTCTGGCTGAGGGATCCATCATCTCCCCACCCCCATCCCTCACTAAAAACTTCATGACTGGCTGGTAAATGTGTAGACTCCAACCCAGTCTAACAAAGGTATGTTTATTCCCTAAAACATGAATTCTTACTAAAACTGCTAAATAATCACTCTGCAAACCTCCTTTGAAGACTTTTTCTGGTTTGTGTAGCTTCTTTGTAAGATCTTCCATCTATTCCGTCATGTAACAATCTCTAATTGAAAAATAGTCAAGGTAAATAAAATAATATCAAATAAAATAATAAATGAAGAAAGTGCATATATGTATAAAAATATATTATAAGAAAAATTGCATTCTGAATCAAGCACATTTATAACATAGCTAGTAAATTTGTCTAATCAAATTCAATTGAGTGAGTGTGCTTCATATTCCTATTGGGCACACTCATGACGTCAGCAAACAAATCCCTCGAGAAAAAAAAATTTCCATCAGGTTGAAAATGTTATAAAACAATCTGTTCATACGTTAGCTGTGTGTTCATTGAGATATGAAGCACTTGGGAAGTTTGGAGAGCACTCAAGAAGCTAGAGTTGCTCTCAGCTATGCCTTGAGCAACTCTTACGCATCTTTCGTGCTCTCTAAACTTCCTGCGTGCTTCATATCTTGATGAATGCACGCTGACGTATGAACCAATTGTTAATTTGATCAATCTACATGTATGATATTTCAGCTGATCTAGTATTAATCTCATTTTGATTGGTCCACTGTACTGATGATCAACTGAAGGATAAATTAATATGTATAAATGATGAATCAAGTACACAAAAAGATTCCATGTGGCTGCATGTGCCACTGTTCAGTTACTGCATAAAAGACATAAAAATGTAGTATTATATGTACAGATGTGTTTAGAGAGATGCAAACCTGTTTGTATTTTAGTCTTTCCTTCCTCCGATGAATAAACAAACCAATTAAACAAATCATCTCCCCTATTGAGGTGAAAAAGTACAAACTCTGCCTTAAATGTTACATTATATGCATTGATAACACACATTATTATTACAAGTTCAAGCAATCTCGCACCCAACTGTGAACAGTAGGGGAGAGCGTTGAGCCACATGGGTGCATGATCACATACTATTTTTCACACTACTGTAAGATACGTACAGGTGCACATGTTCATGACAACTGTGGAAAATTGCTTTCAGACCTAATCTTTCTTCTCAGCTAATTAATATATTTAAATACAGGTTTAACTGGAAATGAAAAACACATTTATCAAAGGTTACATACATCTTAACTTACCAAGAAACATTAGAGCAGTTTGAATCCATGGATGTTCAAATTGGTGTTTTTCCTTACCATTCATATCTTTCAGTCCCTTGGCTCTAAACAAAATGGAACAGAATGAGAGTAACAATTTATTTCTCATTTAGTTTTGGAAAAATTTGTCGAAGTATGCAATATATCAATCAGCAAATCAAAATCAATTAGATAAAATGCAATGACTTGTTTCTAGGAGATATAAATATATTAAGAAATCATTGGATGAGGCTGAGCATGATTTTATGAATTATCAATGCTGAGGTCTGAGTTATCTGCTGAGGTGGAAGGCTGGGATTTGATAACTCATGATATCATGCAAAAGCCAAATTCAATAACAGTTTTGTTGAAAAATTTTTAAAACAATCTGCAAAAGTAGACTTTCTCTGAGTTTGCAAAAGTTTAAGAACTGTACATGAACAAGGGATTTGGAAGACTTTAAACTTGACATGATAACCCAATCTACTGCAGATAACAAACAAGTACAAAGTGGAAGAAGTGTCCTTTTAAAAGATGGCTTCAAGATCCCTCCTTATCAATAAAAGTAAGATGATATCACAATCCAATCTATCAAGCTTTTCCGTGTTAAAAACTCAACAATGTGTAGAAAATTCATATCAGAGTCACCTATGTTTCTTTCAGTTTCAATAGTGCCACAACTGAATTCACTAGCACACAACCAACGCTGAAGCGAGGCGTCAACAACGTAACTGAACATACGAAGTCAATATCGCAACAGTCCAGCAAGAATGTGCAATTAAACACACACACAAAATACAGTTCTATAAAATGTTTCCTGATTGCCCAATATCAGCCTTTAAATCTTCTCACACAACAACTTTAGTGAAACTTACGAACAGTTGTTTTGTGCTTTAAGAGTGACAGTGTTAAGTGAACCTGCGATCAGCATTCCAACAGTCAACAAAATCTGAGTACGTGTAAGGCCCGCCATCTTCCCCCACTCAACAAAATATTGATCTAGATACTAAAAGAATGCGAACACAAAGAAATCGTCGGAGTTATCGCGTGACTTATCGCCTGAATGTTCATAATCGTCACGTGACTACCATAGTGAAAGGAATTGTCACAAACAACCTTGGCGTAGCCTGATCAGTTCCATTGGAGTCTGTGAATGAGATCGGCAAAAATATGAATAAAAAACTGAGTAAATTGTGGTAACTGCAAATGCAAATGGCATAGTTCACCTCTGATTGATAGAGAAATAACCAAAAAAATGTCTTCTCCACGATGATTACCAAAAGCAGACCGAAAACCATTATTGCCATATGCCAGCATTGGACCCTAGGGTGCGCTTTTTCGTGGGGTACTTGCAGATTTTCTACATCCTACGCTCAATACACACACACAAAAAAAGGACAATTACTCTATGGTTCTCGAGTGTTCATAATTCGTGATCGAGGCATTCGAGTGGTTAAAAACAGCAGGAAAAATTCAAACAATAACGTATAGATTAAACACCCAGCCACTGCCCCTGAGGAATGAGCCCACAGTCCTTCTCCGGTCAAAACAGTAAATTCCCTCATACTTGTCTACGAGAAATACGTTGTTTCGTCCCAGTGCGAGGAGACGTCGGAGAGGGAGCGTGAAGAGATAAAATGCTTAGAGTGAGAGCTGACTGCAATCAGCGTTTGAATGATATCAACAGTTTTTTTCTGGTTTGTTTTGGTTTTTGTTTTGTGTTGTTTTGTTGGGGGGGGGGGGGGGAGGGTTGCCTTTTATTTCAAATCGTATAAACCGCAGAGAACACCGAGAATACCAAGTGCGCAAGCGTACTTCACAATGAGTAGCGACCACTGAGTGGTAATGACAGTTAAGTTATTTCTGATGCCCGAAGCGGCGAGGAACCAAATCAAGTTAAAATGCTTGGGGAATTACGTTATCGACTAGTAAGTTGTGTGCATGTTTCATCGAGTCATGATAATTATGAGATATTGTAATAATTCATTCATTTATTCGCACGGTTTACATTATGTTGTTGTTTTTTGTGGTTTCTATACAAAATTATTTTCTCTATTGACCCAACTGAATTGCCTTTGGATATATGTGGCTTAACGTTAACAGATTGACGAAATCAATACCAAATTCCACTTAAAAAAACGTTTTCATATAATTCATTATATTCATTACATAATTCATTAGGAATTACTGATCCGTTGAGAATTTACTTAAAAAACCTTTGTAAGTCCATTCTGGGAAGAAGTTAATTGCTTGTTCTCCCGGCTACTGTCGACTCTGAACATGAGCTTTTTTTTTCCATCAAACTGACTATTTCCTGTTACTTTTAGTGCCGTTGGATGAAAAGACCTATTATTCTAGCACAAATACTTCAACCCTCAAACATGGCCAGTTATAGTATGTGACAGGATAAAACCGAATGTATCTGGCGTTGAATTCATTTCTGAGCGAATGCTTCACGACGCTGCTTTGATCTGAGTTTCCTTGGAACACCTGAAATAAAGTAAAGAGAAATAAACCAGTTCAACTAGACCTCGTTTTCTCTTTTGACAACTTTCTTTTATACTCTACCGTACGTTTTTTAATTGTTCTCCCCCGCAGGTCATTTTAAACTTGGTCTGAGATTGCGCCGATTATTTCTCTCTTTGGCTGAATGTTGTAAGATAGTTTTCGATGACTTGAAAATCGACAACTGGAAGATTTACCTCTGGCCGATATTGGCCGTTTACCTGAAAGGCTTCTTCTGTCGTTAAATTGAAAATTACGCCCATTGCTGTGTTCGTAATCACGAGTTAACGCATTTTTCCATCTTGGGAGTTAGCGCCAAAGCACTTCACGATTGTTATTCGGGGATTGTCGATTCATTAATGAAGTCGGCTTTTCTTGTGAGTAAAGGGTTATTTTGTTTATATGATAAACAAAATAAAACATGGTTGCTTACAGATTTAGAATTTCTTTTCTTGTGTTCAGCTCGACATCTCACTCGTTCGCTGCGCTCGCTCGTGAGCTATCAAAATGAACACTCGAAAGAAATTCCATATCAACGCACCCCCATGTATTATTCTCTCTATATGCAATTCTAGTGAGCTGAAATTTTGCAGGATATTGCTCTACGTTAAAATTTTGTCGCAAAAATTTTTCAGATGCTTCCAACCATGTACTTTAAAGGGTCTTTATAGACATTCTTGGTTTAAAACAGAACTTTTTCGTCTAGAATAGTAAGCTTAATGTATAGTATTTGCCTTCTAATCACTTAGTCCCTAGTCGCCAAATCTGTCAAAACTATATTGTAATCTTGTGGTTTGCCGATGGAATCGAGAAGCTGTTGTCACAAGACTCTAGTAAGGTTAATGTTTATTAATACGTTTCGTGAGACGCACACTTTTCAATCTACTCGAATCTACACTCACACTTTTTGAATCCAATTAAATCTTCCATTACCCGTAATAGGGAAGAAAAGGGAGTGACATTTTGTTCTCTTAGCAAAAGAACGAGCCGCGCAACATAAGGGCTACCTAGATGGAAACGATTGCAGACCATATTCTGCCAACTATTGGAGGAATGAAAAATCCACCTTACTAGGGTTGGGGGGAAAGGGGCGTTGTCAGAATATTAATAATCGCCGACCAGGTTTTGTATCAACGATCAAACTTTATGGTTGTTTTCCATCGACGCTATTGTAGTTTGATTGGAATTTGAAAAAAAGGCGTAGTAACACACACACAACCACACAAAATCATAGGAGATGAACTACTGTATTTTATTGCAACTTGAATTCCTTTTTAATTAGATAAGATTACAACCGTGTCTGTCCAACAGTTCAAATAATATATGTGATGCGATCAAATTTTCATTTTATAAATCAAATACCAGAGAGGTATGAAGACCTCTTCGGTGGATTCAGCTATTAATATCAGCGAGTGCTTGAAAATACAGATCCTAGGTACTTTATGTACATGAAACCATTTTTCTCCTAAAAAAGCGAGTCTATCATTTGAAGGGTCAAGCTATCATCTGTAAATTGCGTCCCTACGACAGCTCTACTGATTTTCTTAACCATGTCATGACGTCGAATAGTCATCCATGGCTATAAGTGTGGCATAGTAAGCTGCTATTGTTGTGTTTTAATGTGCTCCTCTTGATTCACTCATGTTTGACAGTGATGTTGTTCTCCTACAGATCTGCTTTGTTTTTGGATGAGCACCCTGTTTTTAAGTTGTAGGTATCCATGCCACAGGAGTCTCGATTCTACAGTATCTCTTAATTTTATTTTCATAAACCATTAACTTATCAGAAAAGAAAACTCACACCGATAGCAGCTAACCATAACACTTAATGAAAAGGCGAAAGTGAATTTACACATCTGGAATACGTTTTCCATTTTACCTTTATTCTATATAACTGTTTTATTATTCTGCTGCGAAAGGGGTGTAGCCAGGGGTGGATCTAGGGGAGGGAACAGGGGTGCATACCTACCTCCCCCTGAGATAATCTGCAGGTTTCTAATATAACTAGTAATGGGAAAAATGACATTAACAAAAATAATAATAAAATGAAAAAAAAAACTGCATGAATTATTGACGTCGAGGTAAAGCATGAGGTTTCAGAATTTATGTTAAATGCGGTGGAAATGGTGGGTTAGCACTGACTTTTCCAGCATCAGCCGCTCTGTTCGTCAGAGGAGACGTCAGCTACGTGATTCCTTTGCGGTGCGTCCACTCCGACGAAAAATCCTGGATCCACCCCTGAGAATGATTAGTTTCCTAATAAGTTTATAAGTTTATTTGGTAATGTTTATTTTCCCTCTGTAAACTTTGTGTATATACTTTTCTCTATTTCTTTTGTGTGTTGATGAATAGCTACACATATACTAAACCTTTGACGAATTAATTAAGCACAAATATTTCAACCCTTAAACATGGCCAATCAGAGAATGTTACAGGATAAAATCGAACGTATCTGGCTTTGAAGTCATTCCTGAGTGAATGCTTCACGATACAGGTGTCATCTGAGTTTCCAGTGAACACCTGAAATAAGGTGAAAAAACGAATTGAGCAACTTAGTATGGTGCACCGATTCTATATAAAGTCAAGAAAGGAGGTGCTGGAAGGAGGGGGAGGGGGAGGGGGCGGGGGAGGTGC